AGAATGAAATTAGAGATGAAAGAAAGAATGAAGTAGTAACTGTAAGTAAGTAAAAGAGAGGAAAGTAGATAAATGGGAAAGAAGGGATCACTTACTGAGCATTTCCTCTGCTATACAACCTAGTATTTTGAGTATTCTCCTCACCTTAGCAATGAAGTTGATGCTCAGGGAGCCTATGTCCTTTATTCAAGGTCATACAACCAGTAAGTGATGGAGCCAGGGTTGGCCCCAGGTATCTGTGACTCCAATGACTGTGACCTTCTCACTGTATACAAGGAGAGTGAAACCACAGTCCTTAGCACACATGTCCTGGCTGTAAATCCAGTGGGCATTAGTCTGAGGCCCAGTTTTCCCTTCTAAATTTCCCACTGTGCTGCCTCAAGCTGCCTGAAAATTCTTCTTTAAAAAGTTTATTTATTTTTAGAGAGAGGGGAAGGAAGGGAGAAAGAGAGAGAGAGAGAAACATCAATCTGTTGCCTCACACATGCACCCCAACCAGGGACCAATCCACAACCCAGGCATGTGCCCTGACCAGGAATCAAACTAGTGACCTTTTGCTTTGCAGAACAATGCCCAACCAACTAAGCTACACCATTCAGGGCTCGATCTGCCTGGAAGTCCTGCTATTCTTTTTCTTTCTACCTTTCAGTCTCTCACGTTTCAGTGTAAGAATGCCCCTCCATCATATGCACTGCTAATATACTCCATTGCCAGATAGGTGAGGAATTCAGCTGCAAGGATATTTTTATAATCATTTATAGGAAAATTTAACTTAAAATTTTCCTTTATTCCATGCACAAAAAAATCCTTTGGTTTGTCTGCAATTCATTTACTAACTCCCAGAAGGCATAAAAAGAGATTTAAACCAATGGAAAAATATCCCCAGTTCTTGGACAGGGTGACTCAACAATTCTTCCTAAATAAGTTTATAAATGCATGCAATTCCAATTAAAAAATCAACCAACTATGTTATAGAATTGGATGAATTGAACTCAAGTTTCTATGAAAAAGCAAACAGGTAATAAACACTTAAAAGATAAACTACAATTGTATATACTAGCTTAACTAGGCATCAAAACATACTAAAAAGCATCTGTAATTATAACAGTGTGGTACTGGCATATGAAGAGACAAATTGGCCAGCTGAATAGCATGTTCAGACCCAAGTACATATACAACCTTAATAAAGGTGACATCTCAAATCAGTGGAGAAAAAGGTGGACTTTTTAATAAATGTGGGTACTATGAAGTAGCCATTTGGGAAAAGATAAAATTAGATCCATATATCTCACACCATATATATGAGAACAAACTCCAAATGGGTTAGAGATCTAAATGTAAATAAAGCTGTAAGAGTATTGTAGGGAGACATGGTGACTACCTCTTTAACTTTGATATAGGAAAAAACTTTCTAAACAAACACTCAAAATGCAGAGGCAATAAAATAAATGATTGTTAATTTGAACACATAAAAATTATTTTCATGCTAAAACCCCACCATAAACAAAGTCAAACACACATGACAATCTGGAAGAAATAATGGCCATAAATTCCACAGACAAGAGATGAATATCTCTAATGTGTAAAGAACTCTTAAAAATTGAGGGACAGGGGACAAAAAAAACAATGAACAGATAATTCACAAAAACAGATATAAAAGGCCCTCAAACATGAAAAAAATGTTCAAGTTTACTCTTTTTTAAAAAAAAATATTTTATTTATTTATTTTTCGAGAGAGGGGAAGGGAAGGAGAAAGAGTGGGAGAGAAATATCAATGTATGGTTGCCTCTCATGCGTCCCCTGCTGGGAACTGGCCTGCAACCCAGGCATGTGCCCTGACTGGGAATCGAACCACGATACTCTGGTTCGCAGGCCCGCGCTCAATCCACTAAGCTACGCCAGCCAGGGCTTCAAGTTTACTCTTAATTAAGCAAATGCAGATTAAAACAAGACTAAGAGCATTTTCTTGCCTGTCACGTTGGCAAAAATTAGAGAGTAAGACCACAGACTCTGTTGAGACTTTGGGAAGACAGCACTCTCATATTGGTACAGCTTGGAAGGAAATGTGGTAGTACCCAACAAAACTATATTGGCACCTGCCTTTTACCCTGCAATCCCACTTCTAGAAGTCTACCTAGAAGATATACTTCCAATTGTACAGAAATACGAAAGCACAAGGTTATTTATTGTAGCTCTGTGTTGTAATAGTAAACAATGGAAATAATAAGTACCTGTGGTAGGCAGAATAATGCCCCCCACCAAAGAAGTCTGTGTTATGAACCTGTGGATATATCATGTTACACGGCAAAAGGGACATCGCAGATGTGATTAACTATAGGACTTTGAAATAGGGAGGTTATCCAGTATTATCCAGATAGGCCCAATGTAATCACAAGATTCCTTACAAGTGAAAGATGGAGGCAAGAGAGTCAGAGTTAGAGAGACATGAAGATGCTACACTGACACTGTTGGCTTAGACAAGGAGGAAGGGAACATGAGCCATGGAATTCAGGGGGCCTGTAAAAAAGGCTTCTCACTATCTGAGAAAGAACTTGCAAATAAAGAAAGGGGAAGGGCTGGAAGGAAATATCATACTGAGTTGGAATCAGAGGTATCAGTATGAACTCATGGTTTAGCACACAGGTTGGGTCAAAAGTAGGTTTACAGTTGTGAGTATGCAAGCCACAGACTTTATTCTTGTATTATTTATTAATTATATTACTTTTGATAAATAACTGTAATCCTACTTCTGACCCCACCCTGTATATATATGCTTATAGGCAGACATAGCAACAGGTAAGAGTGCATGCACAGCATGGTCGGTGTATACACATGTCCTTGCCGAGAGGATCTGGGACAGCGGACAGAGCTATGAGCAAACCTAGAGCCCAGATACTGATTTCTAAATGCCATTTTCTAGCAAAAGGAATCAGAACCCCTTGAATAAGTGGTTAATTCCAGGCCTGGGGCAGGGCAAATATACATGAATATCTTAAGAAAACAGAAATCGAGCAAGTATTCAATAAAAGATGGAGTGTGTCAAAAGGACATAGGAGCCAACTGGAAGGAGGTCCCAACAGCCAAAATAATTTAAGCCATAAAATAAATGATGGTGGTACTAGACTATAACCATAGAATAAAATGCCCTTGATACCATATTTATATAACTAATGTAATAAATAAATATATGGAGAAAATGCAGCTTTCCAATGAACAAATATAAATGAAACAAAGGAGTAAAAAAATTATAATTAGGCAAATGCCACAGTAATAATTGTTGCATGTAAGACCCTATCAATGGATGCCAAAATGAGTGGGCAAAAGATTGAGAAGTAAGATATTAACAGTCTCAAAATATCTACCCAAAGATATTTACTAGTTAGAAAAAAACTGGTGGACGCCACTTTAACCAAAAGAACAAGCTTCACATCACCAGAAATACCTCATATGACGTGACATCGAGTGTCCTTTGACATGATGCAATGACAAAGACACAATAGCATTCTGTGGTTTAAGAACAATATGCTAAAAAAAAAAAGCCCAACTCAAAACCACAGTCTCAATCTAATCATGAGAAGACATTAGAAAAACCCAAAATGAGAGAATTTCTAAATAACTGACCAGTACTTATCAAAAGTACTTATTGTGAAAGCCAAGGAAAGAATGAGGAACATCACAGATTAGAGGCGACTACTGAGACACAACAATAAGTGCAATATAATATCTTGGATTGGATCCTGGAACATAAAAGGGACAGTATGAGAACAACTCATGAAGTTCCAGAAAGCTCAGTAATTTAGTTAGTAGTATTATACTGATGCTAAATTCCTGGTTTTGATCACTATAAATTGTTGGCATCAGCTGAACAAGGCTACACATAAACTTTCTGTACTAGTTTTGCAACTTTCCTGCAAACCTAAAATTATCTCAACTAAAACATTTCTTAAAATGTGGATTCATTATTACTCTGCATTCAGTAAATTTATTCAAGAATAAAGACACTTGGAATTTCCCCCCCTTATGTTAAATATTAAAGATGTTTATAGAGGCTACTCTTTCTCTCCCTGCTGCCCTACATTCTTAATTGTCTTGGGGAAGAAAACAAAGTAGAAACAAGACACATGTAGAGGTCTAAAAATTTTAACAGCAGCCTACCTGAAATTCTTTTAGGAAAAATGTGGGGTACATGTGCATGTGTACATATTATGAAGATTTTTAGAGAAAACAAATAATTGTTAAAGCTACACTATAATCTCTTAATAGTTTTGTGCCCCAACTTGATATACACTAGACATTCAGTAAATGCTCTACTGAGTTAAAAAATAAGGTACCCATTTTCTTAGATAAGTCCCTTTAACATTTCATATCAGGGCTTGGTGATGATGAACTCCTTGAATTTGATCTTATCTGAGAAGCACTTTATCTGACCTTCCATTCTAAATGAAAGTTTTGCTGGATAGAGTAATCTTGGTTGTAGGTCTTTGGATTTCATGACTTGGAATACCTCTTTCCAGCCCCTTCTTGCCTGTAAGGTCTCTCTTAAGAAATCCGCTGACAGTCTGATGGGAACTCCTTTGTAGGTGACTGTCCCCTTATCTCTTGCTGCTTCTAGGATTCTCTCCTTCATTTTAATCTTGGCTAATATAATGATGATGTGCCTTGGTGTGTTTCTTCTTGAGTACAACTTCTTTGGGACTCTCTGAACTTCCTGGATTTCCTGGAAGTCTAGTTAGCAACAGGGGAGTGGGAGGAGGAGAAGGGGGGAGAAGGTACAGAAAATAAGTAGCATAGACAGTAGATAGAAAACAGATGAGGGGGCAAGAATAGTATGGGAAATATAGAATCTAAAGAACTTGAGACACATGGTCATAAAATAAAGGGGGGGGGTAATGAGGACGGGGAGGTAGGGTGGAGGGGAATGAAGGAGGGAAATAGAACAACTGTAATGGCATAATCAATAAAAAATAAATGAATTTAAAAAATAAATAAGATACCCAGACATGCTGCCTTTGAGCCCCCGCTGCGCCTGCCTGTGGTGTCTGGGGTCAGGCTGCAGCGCCAGAGCAGGAGCTTGCGCATAACTGGGGCCAACTGCTCCGCGGCTGGCGGCCTTTTTTAACCATGAGCGACATGGCCGCACCAAAAAATAAATAAATAAATAAGGTACCCTTCTTGCTCAGGCAATGATGAACTGAATATGAATTAAAATTCACCCTGTTCAGATTTATGAAAATAGAGTTATAGTTGAGGGAGGAAAAGAAAAAGGAAATCGTCCTGCCAGTCTGTAATTGGATTTGTTGGTCTCACTGAAGTTTGTGGACAAACCTAACACCAGTGTGGGCCCCTTGGAGGACGGAGTGTGGAGAGGGTCCTGGGCCCACTGTCGGCAAGGAGGGCTGGGAGCAAAGGTTCGACTTGGGGGCTTGACCTTTTTTTATCATTTGTTTACCTTTGTAGAAATAAGTGCCTATGGCACCAACAACCTTTCTTAATTATTTTACTTACATTTCCTACCATGACTCAACCTATAATATACACAGAAAACTAAGTCTGAAGAGTTTTGTCATTAACTCCTCAAAGTGTTTCCAGACATGTTAATACTTGCCCCCACCCTTAAAGAGAGTTGCTGAACATTTTTAGCAGCCTCCTTAAAAACTTAGTGACTCATTATATTCTTGGCAAGTAGACCCAGTGCCTCATGATGCAGTGAAATTAATTGATTTCCATCTGTTTCAACTTTGGTAGAGAAAGATATCAGCAGGCTGGTACCATTTTGAACATTTCGATAGTTCGTCAATAAGTTAACATAAAATTATTATATGATTGTGCAATGCCACCCCTTGGTATATACTCAAAAGAACTGACAAGCAAGTGTTCAAACAAAAATCAGTCTGAGAATTTCTATGCCAAGACTATTCTGAACAAGCAAAAGGTGAAAAGAACCTTAATTTCTACAAACCAATGAATGGGTAAATAAAGTGTGGTATATTCATACAATGCAATGTTATTTAGCCATCAATAGGAATAAAAACTGACACACGCTACAATGTAGATGGACCTTGGAAAGATTATGCCATGTGAAAGAAGTCAGACCCAAAAGACCTTCTGTTATATGAATCCATGACTGTGAAATGTCTGGAACAGGCAAATTCACCGAAACAGAAAGCAGATTAGTGACTGTCAGCTCCTGGGGGAAGAGGGAGGATGGGAGGTAAGTGCTTAATGGGCACAGAGTTTCCTCTTCAGCTGATGATAATGTTAATGGAATTTGATAGTGGGGATGGTTGCACAACAGTGTAAATACAATGAATGTCACTGAATCATACCCTTTAAAGTGGCAAATTTCACATTATATGGATTTTACCAAAATAAAAAACAACTGAACCTCAGAATGATTACAGGTGTGAGACAAGGGGTGGTGACCGGCAGGCAGAGGGGACCGGGAAGATGACTGGGAATGCAAGCACAAGAGCTAGGTCATTGTAGCCTTCCTTGTGGCCCCGACTGTGGGTGGACTTGTGTTGGTCATTCTGCCTCCTTCTCAAGGCGCGCACGTCCTGGGTGAGTCCCCTGACACTTCTGGTTCTTGAACCAACTCCGGGTTGCTTATCGCGCTACCTCCAGATACAGAGTTGCCTGCTTTCCTCTCCTCTTCACTGCCCACTCTAATTCTGGGGTTCCCTTTCACCACAAGACTGCCTAGAAAGCCAACACTGTACTTTCTTGCTTTACTTCTTCTATTTACCCTTTTTATTCAGGAGCTAGATATTGAGGAAAAGAGCCCAAGATCACAGTAGGCTAAAGGTATTAGTACACGTGCTGTTCAGTTGGGATTTTTAAAAATCTCCCCTTTGAAGAACTGAAAAGACACGTTGTCTTCCACAGGCTCTGGGACAAGAGATCAATTCCAGCCCAGCTTTAGCTGTTTGGGTTCGCTCACATGTCTGGGGGAACCCGGAGATAGCTTCAGGGGTATTGTGAGGCTATAATTCTTCAGTGTAGCAATGAGTTCATTGTTTTTCATTTTATTATGCTTCAGAAGTTGTAACTATAGTCTCTTACATGTATCAAATAATTCATGATACTTTTTTTTTCAAAAAGAAGAGTAGCTTAAACCCTATGAATAAGGCTAGAAGTTTAATTCTTTTACATGGGGTACATTCAAGGACACACCTGATCTTCCCTAATGGCTGTGGGTGAGTATGTTTCTCTCTGGGCTTTCCCAGGCAGGTTCAGAACTCAGGCAGCTAGCTTTTGGGTTGGAAAGCTGCCTCGACGATGTTGATCTGTATTCTCTTTGTCTCCTTCCTTGAAATCAGAGAATTCTTCTTAACCTGCACACATGTTGAGAGAATCAGTCCCCATGGATGCTGAGTCCCCATTCCTGTGCTTTCCTGCTGGATGGGCTGAGGAGCAGACCCTGACTGCTCTTCCCAGGGCCGTTTTTCAGGGTTCTGTTTGCAGTGAGCCACCCTGAGGGATGAAGTAACCTCTCTTACCAAAGAGCAGCCTCGCTGACCACTCACCATCAAAGTGGTAGATTTCACATCTCACTGTTCCTCAGTTAAGTCACAAACCTGCTGCATCCACCTCAGCGTCCACCTAGGCCTACCTGCATGCCCTCCACAGGACTTCAGGACACACAGAAAACATCTCATGCTCATCAGAAGCCTGCTGGTGCTGCTTGCTGCAGAGAGCAACAAAGTCTTCTGCCTGCATCCCAGGAATAGTAATAGGCTAACTCATTATATTGCCAGTAGGGTGAAATCCCAGACCCTTCACAGTGCCTGCCTGTGATGGTGACCAAGCTGAGATGCTGATAGGGGCATGACATCCTGACAGGGAAAGGGCAAGAGCCCTCACGGGAGAGTTACTGGCCATAAGAAGACTCCCTGTGACCAAGCAGAAAATGCTCTCACCTAGGTGCTGGTGAGGGTGCCAGGGGAGAGTAGGGTCTCTCACTCTCCTCTGTTAAATGAGGCTGAGCTACAAAAGGCAGGGTCAAAACAGGTCACCCAGATGTTGCTTTGGTTGTGGCACATTCTCCTGTGGGTGGAGAGAGAAGAATGTGACCAGGACACTGCAGAGTCAACTCCACACCTCGGCCCAAAGGTATACAGAGTGGCTGTGGCTGATGGGTCAGGGGGTCTCCAAAGCTGAAATAATGGCATCAGCATTGAGGTCATGGAACTTTGGGCAGACTAGAAACATTAGAAACTTTTTGTTGAGCCTGTTGGTGGGAGGCCTGTGAAACAGAGGGTAATAAATTCAAAGGCTAGCTGATTGGCACCAAGCTGTCTCTCTTCCAACTTCAGCTGCTTTAGCAAAGAAAACTGAGTGTTCTGGGGCACTTCATGGAGGGGAGGAGAGGAGGAACTCAAATGTTTATGTCTCTCTTGGATGTAGGTACCCAAGCCTACTTATTCCCATGCAGATGGAGTGTGAGCTAAGTCCCAGGTTGGCCCAGATTGCTGAGGATATAGGTTTGGATGAGAAAGGGCCTGGGCCGCTGACTATACCTTACAAGCTGAGGGGAGGCCTGCATAGTGGCCTCACCAACCCAGAGACCGGAAATAACCACATAGGAGGGACTGAATGTACAAGTTCCTAACTAAAAGTGGGCCATGGTGGTATCAGTACTAGGCCAGTATCTTCCTTGACAAAGGTCAGTCTTTGCCTTAATTGAGCCTGTCTGTTGTCTTTTTGCATCTAAGATAACATTACCTTTGAGTATTCAAAATAATCATCCCTTTCAGACCCCTCAGGGTATATCCCCTGCACCACTGCAGGAGACCAGAGAACCTGTCCTTGTCATCTGTCCCCTGCTTCCCATCTCTATGTACTGTCAATGTTAATTATTAACTACCCTATACCACTAATGTAGAAGAAGTATGTGTGGCTGCATTTTGCTTTTTATCCAATGCCCCAGAGTTCTCCACTTGGCTTTCTCCTACTGTCCTAATCAGTCACCAATGGATTTCATGTAACCCTCCTATGCCTCCTCCTTGTATTCTAATGTGGAAAATAAGCTGCAAAACTGCCACTCTCCATAGCATTTTCTCAATCCATTGAGATTTTTCTTCCTGGCAATTGTCCTCATTTTGGCTCAGGTAAACTCAAAAAAATTTTGTACAGGTTTGTACAGGTTTATGACAAACAGGGCAGATCAGTGGCACTAGTAGAGGGTAAAAGAATCATTTCCTTGAACCCTAATACTTTCAGAGGCCAGGGGTACACACAGGAGGTAGCAGCACCAATGCTGGGATCAGGAGTCAAAAGGCAAAGGCTTCCTAGCCACTTTGCACACCCAGTTTCCCCAGATTGCTAGGATACAGCATAATTACCTGAAACTGCTAAGATAACCCCTGGATTTTCTACATTAAACTCTCTGGTGTGTTCCCAGAGGGAAAAAAAAGCACTAGAATTCAACTGATAGGCTTTGAACAAAGTTTGCAGTGAGGAAGGGAAATTAAGTGACTTTGAGTTGCTTCAGAATCCTGCAGTTGTTTCCCCCATTATGTAAATGTATAATGAAATCGAGCTGTTATTTGCTTATATTGTAAATATTCATGGTGAAGAGACAACACCCTTCCATTCAGTGATCCCCTGACCCCTTCCAGTTTGTCTAACAGAAACAATACAGAATTCCAGAGAGAAAAACAGAAATCACAGCTGATCTCCAGAGAAACCCAGTACTGCAGTGTCACCTGCTGGACACAGGCACCAAATACATCCTGTATTAGTTTCTAGGACCATCATAACTGAGAGGCTTAAGCAACAGATATTTATTGCCTCAGTTCTGGAGTTCAGAAGTCTAAATTAGGTGTCAGCAGGGTTGGTTCCTTGCGAGGGCTGTGAGGATAGGATATGTTTAGGCCTGTCCTTGGTTTGTAAATGGCTAACTTCATATTCACATGGCATTGTCCCTGTAGGCCTGTGTCCAAATTTCCCCTTTTTATAAGGATGCCAGTCATATTGGATTAGGACTCAGCCTAATGACCTCATTTTAATACGGTTACCTCTGTGAAGGCTCCATCTCCAAATAAGGTCATGTTCTGAGGCAGTAGGGGTTAGGACTTTAACATACAAATTTGAGGGAGGGTCACAATTCAACCAGTTAGTAATACATCCTTTTCACTAATGTAAGGCAGCTGTTGGCTTACTATAGCGCTCTTGTTAAAAATGAACACCTGACCCATGGAGGTCTTGTGACTCTGAGGCCTGACATCTTCATTTTGGGGTGGGTTAACTAGGACAGGACAACTACAAGAAAAGGGCCCATTTGCTGGCAAGTTAAAATGTATTTATGGGCACAGCTGGCCTGGCCTACTGTCATCTCAATTTTGCATAAAGTAGTAGCTACCCCTTTGGGAAACACTTTATCCCTTTCTGCCATCTAAAGCAAAGCTACTGGCTCAATAGGGCTGTTGGATTCACAGAGATTCTCCTAAATGCCTAGGCCTGTTTTACCTTTGATTCAGCCAAGGAGAAAACTGATGTGGCTGATAGTGCTTCTGCCAGTTTGACCTCGGCACCAGCTATGATGGTCACTGGGATCAGTAGGCAGCAGTCATGGTTGTTCTCAAAGCTGTGGTCAGTCAGGCAGAACGGCCGGTTGTCTAGAGGGGCTATCTGCCATAGGCCCTTAATGTCCCAGTACTTGCTCAGTAGGCCAAGAATGCAAGGCCCAGACTGCTCTTTGTTCAGGCCATTTCTGTGGGCTGTGTTTGTGCAGTAAACAACCTTAAGAAATAAGGTGACCCCCAACCCCCAACTTCACCAGCTCAACACTCACTATAAAAGTAGTAGATTCCCTAAGCCCAGTGTTCTTCAAATGTGCCACAAACCCACTGAATACACAGCATCCATTAAAACCCATCTTTTTGTCAACTCTGTAAAACTTAAGGGGGATGGACAAGTGACACCAACCCCATGCTCATGCTGCTTGCTGTGTTATGAGTGATAAAGTTCTGTATTTCTGACATAGATGTCTCCTGCATCCCACCAGCATCTATGAAATAAGGACAGGCTAATTTGTTAGCTTGCAGAGTAAAATCCCAGATCCTTCAAAGACTCTGACTTCACAGAGACTGATGTACGAGTAAAAGCCCTATAGTTTCCAAAGGTCTTGCACAAGGACTCTGAGTGTGTGACATTCTTGGCTGGTTTGTATGCCTAACATTTGGTCTTCCCTAGGTTACTCTGCTCTGTTCCATTAATTCAGCTGCCCATTCTTTCAATTGTTCCATCTCCTCCAAAGACATCATTATCCTACACAAGACAATCATATCACTCTTTAATAGCAATAATCACAACAGCAACAGCTAATAAAGGCTGAGAGACATTGTTCTAAAGACTTGAGGCATTGTTCTATATGCTTTCTATATACTACTATTTTGCTCCTTCAAACGACCCTAATGAAGGGGATACTGTCACCTCCAGCTTACGTAGTCGGCGACTGAGGCATAAGTCATAAGTTAGTCAGGGCTAGAGATGGGGTTCAAACCCAGGAAGTGTAGCTTTAACCCTCACTTTTAACCACTCACTATCTTGCTTCACAGTGGGACCATCTCCTTTCAGCTATAGTGAACCACAGAGGCATAGAGACTTTTATTTGAAATCTTAGGATGGTAATTCCAGTCCAGCTTTTAGCACTTGATTTTGGTATACAACATTTTAAAGTACTTTTTGACAACCTATATTGGGCAATTAGACAGTCTTCTACTTTGCTTTGTTTCTACATAAATCCAATGTCAAGTTTCCATACTCTATATTCATTTTCTATTGCTATATAACAGATTATCAAATTTAGTGGCTTAAAACAACACAAATTTATTATCTTACAGTTCTGGAGATCAGAAGTTCAAAATGGACTGGTGGGACTGCATTCCCTCTGGAGAATCTAGGGGAGAATCCATATCCTTGCCTTTTCTATTTTCTAGAGGCTGGCTGTGTTCCTTGGCCCATGGTCCTTTACCCTGTCTTCAAAGCCAGCAGCATAGCATCGTCGAATCTCTCCCCCACCCCTCTTGCTCCCTTCCCTCTTTCCCATATAAAGACCCTTACGATTACACTGGGCCCATCCAGGTAACCCATGATAATCCAGCATCTTCTGCATCTCAAAGTCCTTAACTTAATCACATTGCAAAGTCCCTTTTGCTATGTAAGGAAAACTCTTCACAGGGGATCAGGATGCAAATATCTTGGGGGGCAGGTATCATTCTGCCTACCCTATACTTTAAGCAGTTGTCTCTTCCTATATTATGGAAATTTTTACACAAGTATCTGGATTGGAGATTTTAAGAAGCTCATTCACCAGATAATTAATAACCCACTTCATTTTGGCTTTGAGGATACCAAAAGCATTTTACCTTTTGGGGTCAAAGAAAACATACTGCTAGAGCTCATACGTTAGAAACTTTACTGTAACAACATAAAATGTTCATTATTTAAAAATGTACCTGAAGTCGAGCATTCATAAGCATGAACTCCTGTTGCATTTTCATGTTTTCATTCATAGATTTTGAAAATATAAACCCCATCTTGATCTAAAACATAAAACAGCAAAGAGGCTTAAAACAATGTATTCTACATGCATCCTCACATGCTCCGCTTTGGGCTATCATGAGTTTATGACAACGTGGGAAAAAAAAAGAATTTTGACCTGGCTTGGCTGTCATTTACTAATACCAGCTGATTGAACTAGATGATTTGCAGAATATTCTGCTCTGTAAGTCTATGGCTCCATGTTTCATGATTCTATTTCCACTATAAATCCTGAAGAACTGAATACTGAAAAACACACAAACGGGAAAAAAAAGTCTTTTTGGGAGAAACAGGGTGAATCCCACCTATCCTTTTACCTTTTGTACAGTTGGATGATAGAACCTTCTTTTCTGACGAGAGGTGATTCAGAAGATGCATTATGCACTTTAAGGATGGATTTCTCTGTGCTCCTTGCATTTTGTGTTTTAGGAGTTTTAAGTATCTCCAGGTCACTATATCAATACTCTTCTTGCTAGCCCTGTCCCTCTCCTACATATCCCATATTCCCATCCTCCCACTGCTGACATCCTTTGGCCATCTTCCTCTACTTTCACCTTTGTTTTCTTAAAGCTACTGCTGAAATTCTCAATAGGGGAAACATAAGGATAAGTAAGTGTCCTGGGAAACACAATTTTTAAGTGAGTATATAGTACTGTCTATCTTATTTATGTTACTTAAGAAGTTCTTAAGTAGGCTGTCAGTTCTAGTACCTCAGTACTCCAATATTTTGTTCTTCATCCAATTGGGTAGGTACAAAAGACCTTCAGTTGTTGATTTTGATTTTCAGGATGCAAAACTCAAGGACATTACAACTGTTCTACCCTCCTCAACAGTGTTGCTGATTCCCTTTGGTAGGCTGTTGAGCAGGGTTGTAAACTGTGGGTCAGAGTGGCCAGTATCAATGCTTACTACCCAGGATTCATGTGTTGTATGGGAAGTCTTTGGAGGTCCTATTAGCATAGCCATATCCCTATCAGGAAATCTTGGCTAACTGGGGAGAAAGAAGAATGGAGGGAGAACATTTCATGCCAGATGGAATGGGTTATCCCTGATAATAAGGGCTTCAGGTGAGTGGGAACTGCAAGCCAGGCTTCAGTGGCTTACCTGTATTCTACCAAAGATGCACCCTGGAATTACAGGGGCCTCTGATCTAGAGTCAGCTTTAATGTTGGGAACAGGAGGCCAATCACTCACCAGAGAGAAGAGGCACAACCCTGAACAGGCCTGGGAGGTCATGAGGTTTCCCTTCCCCTCAGCCACTACCCCAGCTCACTCCATCCTGTGACCAGAACTGGAACTACTAAGATCTAGCATAAGTTCTCTCCTTTCTACAAACTCTGACAGTTCTATGTCATTTCTCTCTAGCAGCATTTCTGAACTTGCCTGAAGGCAGAAGCAATGTATCATCCATCTTGGCAGTCTCCTGGTGTATCTTTCCAATAAAACTTTGCAGAAAGCAATGAGCAATACAAGAGAAAGGGTAGCTCAGGTCACTTGCCATTTCTTATTTTTCTTCTGTATATAGGAGTAGATAATTGACTTCTTACATATGTTGCAAATATTTATAAAGGAAATAATTGCCATCTAATCCCATTCCTGTATACATACACAGTGTGTCACAGACCTGTGTCTTACAAGTGCTCCTATTATCAAGGCATGGGACCTCCCCTGAAGTACAGGGAGAGTCCCCATGTTAGCCATCTAGGGAAGAGAAACTGGAAAGTTAGGGTTTATGTTTACCTCTTTCTGGGCCTTGTTCTCTTCGGTCTAGACCGTGGTCCTCAGGGAATATCACACCTGAAAGTGAGTGTACAATATCTTGTAAAGTATACCCTGGAGTTCAGTATTTTCAACTTTTACCATCCTAACAAAGCCATTTTCCAAAGTCTGGGAGCTTCTTTTAGGTGTTCAGAATACTCTCAATCTTCTCTCTCCCACTCACGAAATATATATTAGAAAAATGATGACTATAGTTCCTACCACTGTATGATCTACAGAAAAGTTGTTAAGAGAGTAAATCCTAATAGTTCTCATCAGAAAGGAGAAAACTTTTTTCTTCTTTCTATTGTATCTATATGAGATGATGTTAGCTGAACCCACGTGGTAATCATTTCGTAATACATAAGTCAAAACCATCATGTTGTATACTTAAACTTATACAGTGATGCATGTCAATTATTTGTCAATAAAACTCAGTGGGGGGGGGGATAAGCAAGAGTGATCTTGCAATAGGGATAACTTTTATAAGGTAAGTTACCCAAATTGTGTAAGGTAAGTCTTTCAAAACTTCCAACACTTTTATCACTGATGACAAATCTCTTGATACTTAAAACTTATACACCAGTGTGGCTCAGAGGGCTGAGAATACTGATTTGAGTTCCTTCTGCACGTAGTTCTCCTTTGATTACTCCTGAGACTTTAAAAAGGACTTTGGGGTTAAAGCTGTGCTATAGATTACAGTGGGAAGTGGTATTTCTGTGTGAGGAGTGTTGAGGCTGCAATTTCCAGGTACCCCTGGGAACCTGGTTGTAAAAAAAAAAATCCCATAACCACAACCTCTGTCATCCAGATTTCTGCGCTGACTCACTTCCTGATCAAATTACACATTAACAACCTACATTTATGATTAGTTGCATTGCAATCATTTTCAATAAGTGTTTGCATTCCATTCATATTAGCCCACTTCCCCTGCAAATTCCAACCCGGAACCCACCGCTTCTCCTGGGAGGATTTCCGTAATTTAACTACATCCGCCTTTCCTGGACCTAATTACTGTATCTTCGGTATTTCCTAAATGGTGTGCTGATTTCCGTTCATAATGCCCTGTACTCCCCGACTGCATTTCAGTCTTACGGGAAAGGCCAGGAGTCCTGTGACTTGAACTGACTCCAAGACAAGGTTGTCTATACCCCTCAGCACTAGGGGCAGGGAAGGAGCCGAGGGCAGGAGCTCACGAGTAGCGTCCGCGCAGCACGGCCAGCAATCCCCCCCCTCCCGGGAGCTCAGCGCGCGACAGCTTGGACTCCTGGATCCGAGCTCTTCACCAACCTGTGGCTGCCCGGTCCCGCACCGCTGGCCTTTATTCACTTGGCAGCAGGAAAACTGAGGCTCAGGGACTCGGAGATCGCCGAAGAGGCCTTCGGGTTCCCTGTCCCCGGAACTGCTGCAGAAACCCGGCCTCACTTCCCAGATTGGCTAGCCAAGACAGTGCATTCAACCCTCAGCCAATCAGTGCAGCTCTTAGCTTCCATAAAGGTCCCTCGGCCTGTCCTAGGCCTTCAGCGTTCTACACCTTGACCTTAGAACAGGCAGCTCAAAGAGGAAAGAGGCAGACAATCTCAGCAGCTGTGGCACAGGTCTGTAAACCTCAAGGTCACTGGTTTGGTTCTAGTTAGGGCGCATGCCCAGGTTGGGGGGTTGCAGCTATACAACGAAGGCAAAAGAAACTGCGACTCCAGAGATTCACAGGGCAAGTCTTAATACTCCCATCTGCAATATTAGATAACTGCAGAAACTGATAAAGTCAAGACCACTTAAGTGTCGGACCATGCAGAAATTAGAGTGTCACCACATGGGTTAAAAAGTGCTGATTTACCCCCTTGGCTGGGGCTCCGTTGGAGCACTGGAGCATCAAAGTACATCAAAAGGTTGCAGGTTTTCAATTCCCAGTCAGGGCATCTAGGTTGTGGTTCGGTCTCCCCTGGAGAAGGGAGCGCATATGTTTCTCTCTTACACTGATGTTTCTCTCTCTCTCTCTCCCCCTCCCCCCCTCTCCCCGTCTACCCGTCTTCCTTTCCCCTCTCTAATATCAATAAGCATGTACTGGGCTGGGGGAAAAAATCCTGATCTACCAAGGTAGTGCATAGGGCCAGGCAAACATAAGTGAATGAAGTAGAAAGCTCTGATTATCATTTTTAGCAACAAATTGTAAAGGCAGGGACTATCGTAGCTGTGCACTCAAAATGTTAACTGCTTATATCTTCCCTTCCCTTCCTTCCCTGTTACTTTGTATGAAGAGTAGTATGTCTTACAAAATTATAATTTAGATTCTAGGTCAATTTAGATTATACCCAAATTGACATAATCTCAAAGAAATTTGATGATTAGTAAGATTTTGTGATTCTCAGGTGTGAGGGATGAGCATCTCTTCACTTGAGCAAAGGGCAAGAATAAATCCAAGGTGGCAAAGCAGGTGCACGATGTGGGTTTTCTGTTTGCCTGCCCTCATATCTATTTTCCTCCTTTCCCTTTACCCCAGAAGCTGACCTCTTTGGAAATGTCACCTGGGCTCTTCTCAGCTGGTTTCCATTTGGGTTTGAACAATGGAAGCATCCACAGGAGATTGGAGGCAGGAGGAAAGAGAGGTAGGGTATGTTTTATCCATTCTTTCTGTTTTGGGGTCAGAATCTAGCAGTGGCTGTGTCTCTCCACAACCGCAGCTCTTAACCAGGGGTCACTCCTCCATGGCTCCAGCTCTCAGAACTCTGGGAGTGCTTTCTTTCCTTCCTTTTTAGCCTTGAGAAGATATGGGCTTCCTGCTCTTGCACCAAGGCTCTCTCAACTTGGTGGTTCTTAACCTCAGCTTAATGTTTGACATGCCTCAACCAGATGGTTCTCTTAACCCCAACACCCCACTTTAAGTAGTGTCTACATTAATATCTCTGTAGTCAAACCAACTGAACATAATTCTGATTCCTGACTGAAACCTGATGGATACACTTTAAACTGTACACATACATTATACTCTTGTATGTATGATATGTTTACAATTTTAAAATATAAGTGAATAAAGTGAGCGTGTAATATATACCTGATAATTCAGAGAACTCTTGGTGTATGTGTGTGTACACACATGAGGTCTGTCCAGAAAAGGTCCAACCATTGTTAATATAATGAGAATGGTTTGCATGACATTTATATAACCTGGCAGCCAATGAGAGTGGACTGGAATGTGCTTACACGAACAGGGACAACCTCACTGTACTAGTCAGTGGGGGCAGTAGATGCTCTGAGTGAGCATTTGTACTGTATGGTTGTAGCATTCAAAATGATTGTGTGAATGGAACAATGAATCTGCATCATAATTTTGCATTAAGCTTGAACATTCCTCTGCAGAAACTACTTGGCTGATTCAGAAGGCCACAGCTATGGGCAACTGGTGACTGGCAGCTTCATCATGACAACACGCCTGCTCATGCATCACATCTCATGCAGAGTTTTTTGGCAAAACATCAAATCACCCAGCTGACTCAGCCCCCCTACTGCCCAGATTTGGCACCCTGTGACTTCTGGCTTTTCCCAAAACTAAAATCACCTTTGGAGGAAAAGAGATTTTAGACCACCAATGAGATTCAGGAAAATATGATAGGGTAACTGATGGTGATGGGGAGAACTATGAGAGGTCCCAAGGAGCCTACTGTGAAGGGGACTGAGGCGTCATTATCCTATGTACAATGTTTCTTGTATCTTATATCTTCATCAATAAATGTCTCTATTTTTCATATTACATGGCTGGATACCCCTGGACAGACCTCATATATATCACATTTTATAGAATGTGAGGTAAAACGATTAAAATAATTTCAAATCAAAGGAATATAACTTTAACTGACATGTGCATTATTTCTAATTGTATGAATTTGTGTATATAGGCGCATATGTTTTACACACAGGTACAAATAGGTGCTTTTTAAAAAATCATCTTGCATTATAGCATAAGGATTTTCATGCTGTTAAATAGCATTCATATGTGCCACTTTTAACAGGTGTTGGATTTTTAGGAAGTATGTATACAATTTCTGTTGTTGTATATTGCTAATTTTTTGTGCTATTGCAATAACATCATGATGACCATCTTCATGGTCTATATATAAAGATATATATAAAGGTATATATATCTTCAGCATTCTGATTGTAAATGCTGGGTTAAATAGTATAAATATCAAAAAAATAGTATAAATATCTTAGAATCGATGTAAAATCCTCCACTCATTGAACATCTCCTACCCTAGAAAGGAAAATTACTCAATGTTTTCCTGCATATCCATAAAGTATTAATAGATTAAAAAGCAAAGTTTTTGCTTTTTACCTCTGGGATACCTCTGGGGAACATGGTCTGAATTTTAACCTTACACTTCAGTCATGGGGCCTATAGCCTGGGAGTGGTTTGAACAAGCAGAGAGCATTACTGAGCTTTGGCAAGGCTTGTCTGGGTTTTGTCCATTCCTCAACAATGACACCAAGTGGCAGTATAATGGCAGCAGTGGATTCAAGATCTGTTCTCTCTCTACCTAAAGAGTTTTAAATTGAGATGTAATTCACAGAACATAAAATTCGCCATTTTAAGTGTACAATTTAGAAACTTGTAGTATATTCAAAAGGTTTTACAACCATCACCACTATCTAATTCCAAAACATTTTCATCACACCAGAAAGAAACCCCATACCATTAGCAGTCACTCCCCATTCTCCCCCTTCCTCTAGCCCTGAGCAAATCCTGATCTGCTTTCTGTCTCGGTAGATTTGCCTATTGTAAACAGCTCATATAAATGGAGTCACACAATATGTGGCCTTTAGTGTATGACTTCTTTCACATAGCATAAAGGTTTTCAGGGTTCATCCAAGTTGTAGCATTTTTTAGTACTTCATTACTTTTTGTGGCTAAATATGCCAATGTACAGGTATACCATATTTTTCTATCAATTCAAAACTGATGAACATTTGGGTTCTCACTTTTTTGCTATTATGAATAGTGCTGCTGGTGAACATTTGTGTACAAGTTTTTGTGTATATGTTTTCAATTCTCTTAGGAAAGAGTATATAGTAGTGAAATTACTGAGTCATAAGATAACTCTATATTTAAATCTTTGAGGTTGAACAAATTCACAAGGCCACCAAGTGTGAATAAGGATACTGATTTTACCACACTTGTACAATAGTTAGGAGCATAGGTACTAGAGCCAGAGTATCTGGCTTTGAACCTCAGCTGTGCCATGTCCTAGCTGTGTAAGCTTAGACCAGTACTTAAGCTCTGTGCTTCAGTATTCATATCTCTAAAATGGGAGCAATAGCAGTATCTTTCTCATAGAATTGTTGAAAAATTTAAATGAGCTGACATATGTAAATCACCAATACAAACTTCTGACATATAAAGAATGCTATATGTTTTATTATTATTTTTCTCTTCATTATAATTATTGCATTTTGTTTTGTTATTTTGATAGGTGAAAAAAGTGATGCTTTAGTTGGTTGAGGTTTGCTATTGAAAATCAGATATCTCTGATTATTAATCAGAGATAACAATAATTTAAGAGGGCAGCAAAATATGGCAAAATAAAGGTAAAATATGTTTATTGATTTTAGAGAGAGAGGAGGGAAGAGAAAGACAGAGAGAAACACTGGTGTGAGAGAGAAACGTCTATTAGTTGCTTCCCTTCTGTACCCCAACCAAGGATTGAACCCACAACCTAGGTATGTGCTCTGACAGGGAATCTAACCCAAGCAACTAAGCCACAGACAGGACTATCCTGTTTTTGATGAACAAGAAGGTTTACGGGAAATTGCTTCTTCACCGGAAAATTGCTAGCATCACTTCAGGCCCAGTGTTAAGACCCTGGAATCTACCCTCCTTCTGAGATCAGGATAGAAAAGGAACCTCTCTCTTATTTTAGTGGAATGGGTAGAGGTAGTGTAAAGGGTGGTATCAATACCAATCAGCCAAGTTTGATGGAGAAAGGGGAGTTATAACTGCACTTACAAAAACTCTTGGTTCATTTTTTCCCTTAAACATCATACCATCAATTTTTAAAACTTCAGTGTGCAAATGAATCACATCATGTTGGTGTTGAAATGTAGACTCCCAGAACCACCTCTTCCCCAGAGAACTATATTCAACAGGTCTGTTGTGTTAAAGCCCTAAAATCTGTAAACACCCACCTCAAGTCAACTGTGATATAAGTGATCCTCAGAAACAGTATATTAGCATTGATGAGTTTTTACCCCTAAAAATGTAAGTGGGGCATGACTAGGAAATAGTGATACTGGAAATGATTAGGGTGCCCACACTTCTTCTATCTCAGCACTTCTCCATCCACTTTGCTCAAATCACAAGGTTTCAGGATTAATGGCCCCTAGCCCCAGCTGGCAGGATTTCCTATATTTTTTAAGTGTTAAAACCTCTTTTTTTGTGGTAGAAATTTGTATTTTTTGCCTTTGTTATACATGAAATGAAATTGGTAAATACGTCCCATACCTTTGGTAAAGTACTGAAGCGTGCACTGACAAGCAGTGCCCACAGTGTCATGAATGAGACATGAGACAAATTCACACGACTACGACTACTGTGTCCTGTGGAGGAAAAGGGCCGCAAGGCTACTCCTTCAAGGGGGGAGAGCCTCAGAATGGCCTCATCACCCTCTCAAGGGGAGAGCGGCTTGGAGCGGCTGGGAAACTCTCTCACCAGGGGAGAGAGAGCACCCCAACCCTTGCCTAGTCAGGCTTTTTAATTGGGATTTTTGCACAGGAGTTCAGGTACAGCTTATTAATCATTGTCAAGCAGTAAACAGTAGATCATATACAAAGAACCATTAGGGTTTCTTCTAAATCAGGGCCTGCCAGCTAAAAGGCTACAGAACTTTGGGAACATAAACTCTTCTTCTCTGGCCCTTATCATCTAACTAAAAGCATTCTTAAACAAAGCAGGTGTCACAGGGTTTCACATATTTCTTCTCAGGCCTAATTACCCAGGGAGCCCACCTTTCCCATCACAAGGCTTGCACCACCTTCCCCATCATAGGTTTTTAGGCTTAAGTGGATTAGAGCCAGGAAGCACTTCTCCCAGAGGACATGGGGACTCAGGCTTCATCACAGCTAGGGGGCAAGGGTCCATCACTCCCTCTTTCTCACAGCCTCCCAAGTGATCGTGTCTGGCCTGGGCTGCCCCTCCTCTGAAGGGTCTCACTTGTCTCTGACCATCCGACCATACTTTGGGGGCATGGAGATGAAGCAGGGACAGCATCTGCTGCCAGAGACAAGCCTTGTCTCCTCAGTGGCTCACGTTCCAAAGATCGCTCATAGCCTTAGACATGGGAGACGGTTTCCAATTCCTGAAACCAAGCAGGGCAGTCCCCAACAAAGTACGACTGTTATTATTCTATACAAGTATGAGACTGGGGTTAGGAAAAAAGACAAAGAGGTTATGACAGACACACAGTGGAAACCCCAGATCATCTCTTGGCAAACTGAAGGGGATGTGGGAAGCTCAGCTTCATTTGACTGCAAAGTCCCAGGGTTTAGTTTCGTATCTGTTCATGCACATGGGTGGTGGAAAGGAAGGGGGACAGCAAAGACACAAAAGGACATACAG